TGTGGGTGTTGTTTACCGGGATGGGGAAGCCTGCCTGTGAGGCCTGTGCTGGGTGGGACATTCTGGCCTTGGAGTCGTCATGGGAACATCAGTGCTGGTCCTGGTCAGGTCCTCCCTGGACCACAGCTGGCTCAAGCCCCTGAAGAGAGCCTTTGGGTCACTTCGGCTTCACAGACGAAGACATTGAGCCACAGAGATGGGATGCCACCTGTCCTAAATCACCAGCACACCTGCAACTGGGCCACAAGTGGGGCGTAGGGTGGGATGGTCAAAGCCCACCAAGTCATCTTGGAGAACCTTGGACCCTCTAGGTCCTGGGCAAGGGAGGAGGGGAATGGGCAGAGCAGGTGCTGGGCTTTGGTCAGCGTAGCGAGCTGCCTGGGTCTCAGGAGCTGAATAATACATGAGCAGGGGAACCGGGCTGCCAGCTCAGAAGGCACAGCAAGGAAGGCTGTTTCAGTGGAACTCCACTTCTGTGTGGGGGTGTGTGTGGGGGTATCGGGGTGTTTCAGTGAAACTCCACTTTTGTGTGCGGGGAGCGGGTGTAGAGGGGCAGAAATGGAGGGTGAGTCAGGCCTGGCTCTGACTCAAGGCTCTGTCATTAACTGGCTGTGTGGGCCCAGAAAAGCCCTTTGTCCTCTTTGGTGCTCAGTTCCCTCTGAAGAATGGGAGTGATAAGCTATACCCCGTCTCCTTCAGCAAAAAGGAGCAAGACCTGATGGAGCAACTGGGTAACTGGAGATACCTCCTGCTGGTGCCTGCCTGGGGTCCCTACCTACCCCTGTCCTCTCCCCTTACTTTCTGCCCTGGCTGAGTAGGCTGTGGCCATGTGGTTTCTGCCTTCTCTGGGCAGAGCTGATTGCTTCATGTGGCCTGACCTAAGGCTGCAAGTCTGAAGTCTGGCTGGTGGCCAGTCTAATTCACTTTTGAGAACCTGCACTAAAAGAGGTAGGGGGTGGGAGAAACGGCAGGCCATCGGGGGTGCGGAGTGGCAGCTCTGAGACATGAAGCCCCAGAACCATCTCTCCTCCTCTTCTTCCTCCTCTCTGTTCTCAAGATGGACCTCAAATGACATCAGGCTCTCTACTCACTGAACTCCTGTTCAGTCTTTTGGTCCCAGAGCGAATTCTTTGGTTGCTTAAAGTTTAGCATTAGAGACCCCAGAGCAGCAAGGTTCTGGCCCTGGTTCTGCCACTTGCCAGCTCCACACCCTCAGATCAGTGGCCTCAGAGCCTCAGCGTGCTCAGCTGTGAAACGGACATGGGAGGCCTTCCCAGACAAGTGGCAGGAGTGGATAGGGGACTGGGCAGCAGGTGAGATCTCCCCTTTCCCTCTGTCTCTTCCCCCTGCTCACTTTCTCTGGCTCCTTACTTTCCTCTTCCTGTTCCTCCTCCCCAAGACTCACCCAGAGACTGTCGGTGCCCAGCCACTCAGAGGAGTTGCGCCAGGGACTGGTGGTGCCTGCTGTAGGCAGTCTCACCTCAATGGGGAGTGGGGCTTTATGGAAACCAGATAAATTGGATGAAGTGCTTTTGGGGCAAGTTCGGGGATGCGTGCAGGAAGTGGGCCTCCTGCAGTGCAGGAGTTTGAGGGGCTGCCCACTCTCCCTTCTGCTTCTGGGCAGTGGCTCTTGCCCTCTTGAGGAAAAAGGAAGGACAGGGGAGTTGCTCTTTCTTTTCCTCTCCCCTCCCCTCTCCTCCTTTCCCTTCAGCAGAGTCTCACTCTGTTGCCCACGCTGGAGGGCAGTGGTGCAATCTCGGCTCACTGCAACCTCCATGTCTTGGGTTCAAGCAAGTCTTGTGCCTCAGTCTCCCAAGTAGCTTAGCTGGGATTACCGGCCAGTGCCACCACCCCTGGGTAGTTTTTGTGATTTTAATAGAGACAGGTTTTGCCATGTTGGCCTGGCTGGTCTCGAACTCCTGACCTCGGGTGATTCACTGACCTTGGCCTCCCAACGTGCTGAGGTTACAGGTGTGAGCCACTGCGCCCAGCCGAGACATTCTTTCTAAGCCCAGAGATATCAACACCTGCCCCAGCTCCTCTTGGAGTCAGTTTCCAGAGGGCGGCCCCAGCCAGGTATGTGGTGTAGTGGTCTCATGAGACTCTCACAGCAGGTCTGTGAGATATGAACTATTAGTATCTCCAGTCTCCAATGAGGAAACTCAGACTCAGAAAGGAGAAGGGACTTGCTTGAGGTCACCTGGGTTGAGAAGGTAGAACCCAGGCCTGGCCGGGTCTAGAACTACCTTCCTTACTAGGCACTCCTGCCAACTGAGCTCCTGGGTCATCACTGGGCTCGGAGTGGTGTAGGACACTGGACCGAGCCAGTGGCATAGTCCATCGGGCCCCAGATCCTGCTCCTGCCTGGAAGGGGAGGGCCCTGACCAAGCCACTGGACAAACCAGAGCCCAGCTGGGCCTCCAACAGGCACCAAGGCCTCTGCAGTGTTTGCCTATCCCCACCCCAACCTGGATTCCTCAGTCAGCCTGGCCCCTTTCCCTAAGGGTCCTGTAGCCAGCATTTACTCACTCATTCATTCAAAAGCCTCTGTGGGAAGTGTGCTGCATAGCAGGCACCGTCTAAGTGCTGGGAACACAGCTGTGAACAAAACAGAGAAAAACCCTGCCCTCATGGAGTTACCATATGTGGGCAGAGGGAGAGCCAATCAGCACGGACAATCAGTAACACAGATAACGGGGTATAAGTGCTGTGGAAGGGACAGCAAGAAGTGGGGGTATGACATTAAACAGGACGTCACAGAAGGGCTAGTGGCCAAGGGGCCATGAAGAGAACCTGTGGGTAGTGCACAGTCTCAAGTAGGTGGAGGAGCAGCCAGGCCAGTGGCTGGAGGGCAGTGAGAGTGCACTGGGTGGTGAGGTCAGAGTTTGGGGCACACGTACAGGCCCTGTAGGCCACAATGAGGGGTCAGCTTCAACTGCCAATGAGGCAGGAGCCATGGGAGGAGGGTTTTTGGCAGAGAAGGGATGGAATTAGACCTCAAGTCTTTTTTGTTTGAGATGAAGTCTTGCTATGTCACCCAGGCTGGAGTGCAGTGGTGTGATCTTAGCTCACTGCAACCTCTGCTTCCCAGGTTCAAGAGAATCTCCTGTCTCAATCTCCCAAGTAGCTGGGACTACAAGTGTACACCACCATGCCCAGCTAATTTTTGTGTTTTCAGTAGAGACATGGTTTGACCATGTTGGTCAGGCTGGTCTCAAACTCCTGACCTCAGGTGATCCACCTGCCTCAGCCTCACTGAGCCACTGCTCCTGGCCTTTGACTCCCAGGTTTAAGCAATTCTCCTTCCTCAGCTTGCTGAGGAACTCGGATTACCGGTGCACACCACCATGCCCAGCTAATTTTGTATTTTTAGTAGAGATGAGGTTTTGCCATGTTGGCCAGGCTGATCTCGAACCCCTGACCTCAGGTGATTCACCTGCCTTGACCTCCCAAAGTGCTGGGATTATCAAGGGTGAGCTACTGGGCCTAGCAAAATACCTCAGTCTTGATAGGAGCCTCTACCATTGTGGGAGGAGCAGCTGCAGGAGTGAGGGGGAAGGCAGGGAGGCCAGTGTGGGAGTTTCCATTGAAGTCCTCCTGTAGTAGGCTGCCAACAGTGAAGGTGTGGAGAAGTGGTAGGATGCTGGGGACATGTGGCAGGTAGGGCTGACAGGATTTGATGGGGGTGGGGGAGGGTGCAGAATGGCTCCCAGGTTTCCTTACTGAACAGCAGGGAGAATGGAGAGGCCATCAGGTCATCGGCCAGGGTGAGGAAGGCTGCAGGTAGAGCAAGTTGAGGAGGTAGGGCCCAGGAGTCAGCTTTAGGCACTGGGCACTGCCAAGGGGCCATCACAGCCATCAGGACTAGTAGTATCAGTCATCGGCATCTAGATGGCATTGAAGCCACAGCTCTGGAGGATGCCACCAGGGAGGGAATGCGTGTAGAGGGAAGAGAGGCCACGGAATAAGCCACAGGGATGCAGTGCTTAGGAACCAAGGAGGCAGTGAGTGAACAGGAAGCCAGCCAGAGGGGGAGGTTGGAGAGACAGAAGGGAATGGGGTCTGGGGGTGCTTCACAGGAGGGTGGGGCTGCTGTGACAGATGGGCACGTGGCTCAGGTTAGTCAAGAATGGAGAGCTGACAACTGAATTCAGCTCCCTAGAGCTCCAGGGGTGACTGTGACAAGGGTGGTCCCAGTACATTGGTGGGGACAAGGGAAGTGACGCCTGATGGAAGAGGACTCAAGAAAAACAAGACCAGGCCCTGGCATGGTGGCTCATGCCTGTAATCCCAGCACTTTGAGAGGCTCAGGTGGGTGGATCACATGAGGTCAAGAGTTCGAGACCAGCCTGACCAACATAGTGAAACCCCATCTCTACTAAAATTACAAAAATTAACTGGGCATAGTGGTGCATGTCTGTAATCCTAGCTACTCAGGAGGCTCAGACAGGAGAATTGCTTGAACTCAGGAGGCAGAGGTTGCAGTGAGCCAAGATGGAGCTGTTGTACTCCAGCCTGGGCGACAGAGCAAAAAAAACTCCATCTAAAAAAAGAAAAAGAAAGAAAAGAAAGGACTGTGTTGGTCACAAGGCGGGCCCACTTGTGAACATGCTAAAACCACAGCATTGTACACTTTGGTGGGTTAATTGTATGGAGTGCAGATTAAATACAGTTTTTTTAAAGGAAAGAAGGAAGGGAGGGAAGGAAGGAAACACGTATTCCACCCCTGGGAATCCCTCCTACATGTCCTTATGGGGAATGACACACAAATGGAGCTGCTCGTTGCCACAGTACACCATGGTGCATTCCAGGATGGAGCATGGCACAGCTATAACAAGGAATGTGGACGGTCTCTGTGTCCTGGTAGGGAGCAATCTCCAGGACCTCCTAGTGCAGGAAGCAGACTGCTGTCTACAGTGTTTACTGAGGCCTTTCTGTAGGAAGTGTGTGTGTGTGTGTGTGTGTGTGTGTGTGTGTGTGAATATGTTTGTGTTCTTGTATTTGCTTTTTTTTTTTTTTTTTTTAGACAGTCTCACTCTGCCAACCAGGCTAGAGAGCAGTGATACAATCTCAGCTCACTGCAACATCCACCTCCTGGATTCAAGCAATTCTCCTGTCTCAGCTTCCCGAGTAGCTGGAATTACACGCATGCACCACCATGCCTAGCTAATTTTTTTATTTTTAGTAGAGATGGAGTTATGCCATATTGGCCAGGCTGGTCTTGAACCCCTGGCCTCAAGTGATGCGCCCACCTCATCCTCCCAAAGTGCTGGAATTACAGGTGTGTACCACCATGCTCAGCTTGTATTTATTTTTGTTTCCATATTAGAAATATTGCAGCAGGGAGCAGGGGCTCATGCCTGTAATTCCAGCACTTTCGGAGGCTGAAATGGGAGGAGCCAAGTAGTTTGAAACCAGCTTAGGCAATATAATGAGACCGTGTCCCTAAAAAACAAACAAACTAAAATATTAGCGGGGAGTGTTGGCAAGTGCCTGTAGGCCCAGATACTCAAGAGGCTGAAGTGGGAGAATCACTTGAGCCAGGATTTGAGGCTGCAGTGAGCTGTGATCACACCACTGCACTCCAGCCTCTGACACAGAGCAAAACCCTGTGTCAAAACAAACAAATAAAAGAAATACAGCGCTGGGTGTGGAGGCTCAAGCCCGTAATCCTAGCACTTTGGGAGGCTGAGGTGGGTAAACTGCCAGAGCTCAGGAGTTTGAAACCAGCCTGGGCAACACGGTGAAACCCGGTCTCTACTAAAATACAAAATTTAGCCAGGCATGATGGTGTGTGTCTGTAGTTCCAGCTACTCAGGAGGCTGAGCCATAAGAATTGCTTGAACCCAGGAGGCGGAGGTTGTAGTGAGCTAAGATTATGCCACTGCACTCCAGCTCAAGTGACAGAGTGAGACTCTGTCTCAAAAAAAAATACAGCAAAAGCTACACAAGAAATTAATGAGAATGGTTATCTCCCTGTAAATCTTTCTACATTAGTTTGATTTTTGATCCATATGAGTGCATTTCTGAGTCAAAAAACAAACAAAAATGTCACATTTAAAAGTATAAATGTGGGCTGGGCATGGAGGTTCTCACCTGTAGTCCAAGCACTTTGGGAGGCCGAGGCAGGTGGATCACTTGAAGCTAGGAACTCAAGACCAGCCTGGCCGACATGGCGAAACTCCATCTCTACTAAAAAATACAAAAATCAGCTGGGTGTGGTGGTGCACACCTGTAATCCCAGCTAAAGCCGTGCACAGTGTGGTGGCTGAGGCAGGAGAATCACTTGAACCCGGGAGGTGGAGGCTGCCGGGAGCCCAGATTGCACCACTGTACTCCAGCCTGAGAGACAGAGCGAGACCCTGTCCCCACCCCTGACAACACTGTAAATGTGAAAATGGAAAAAAAGAATTTCGAGACAGTGAGTGGAAACACCACTTTAGACAGGCTCTCAGGAAGAATGTCAGGGCCTGAGATGTCACATATCCAACTCCACCCCCACAGCCACGTAACATTTGTTGAAAGTGAGGCAGAGAGAGGTCAGAAGACTTGCTGGGGAAGAGTGGGGCAGGGCTGGCTCTTCAGAACCAGGAGCACCTCCCAGAGCCATACTTTCTGTCTGCCCCAAGCAGGGAGCCTTGTCTGTCCAGAAGAAAGGCTGAGAGGAATGCCAAATGTGGGTGAAGGGGAGGAAGGCAGCAAAACACACTGCCACGTGTGTACCTATGCAAATGTCTTGCATGTTCTGCACATGTACCCCAAAACCTAAAATGCAATAAAAAAATAAAGAAATAAATCAGGGTCAGAGCGACTGGTGCTATTAATAATAAAGAAAATGTAACTTGGTGTGTGGCATGCCCAATAAATATTATTCTCTTTCTCCTCAAAAAAAAAAAAGAAAAAGAAAAAGAAAGAAAGAAAGGCTGAGAGGCCACCATTGTCTAGGGGCTTGCCCAAGTCATGCCTCAAGCCCACAGGCAGGCATCTTTCCCCTGCAAAACCCCATTGTCCAGATGAAGACCTGCCACTCGGAGAGGCAAGCCCAGCTCTAGCCCACGGGATGAGGAGGCCCGCAGCTCAGAGCTCTGGGTCAGGTCTCATTCCTCACTTGGATCTGACCCATAGCAAGTCATGCAGCCTCAGCATTAGTCTCCTCATCCGTGAGTGTAGATACCGCCCCTACCAAGGCTGGCCTGGGCATTACATGAAATGTTGGGAGAGCCGGGCACAGTGGCTGGCCTGGGTAAGCAGCTGTTATATCTGCCAACATCGTTGCTACAGGCCTCTGCCTCTCTGCTCTGAGTGAGGTGGTCTGGGTGACTGCTGGCAGCAAGTCCTGCCCACCTGAGCCCTCTTGGTCTCTGGAACCTCAGGCAAGAAGTCAGCTGAGGTTGCCCCTTCACTGGTAGGTTCCAGGTCCTGCCTCCCTCTCAGGGTCCCTGACCTCTGTGCAGACACAGAGCAGGTGTCAGGCTACTAGTCTCTCATTTATTGATTCTTTAAATATTAGCTGTGCATTAGTTGTGCATGTGTTATGTGCCAAGCACTATGCAGGGCACTCAGGGTTGGCAGAGTGGAGTGAAAGCCAACCTGATCTCTGCTCTCATGAAGTTCCCTGCGTTGTAGGGGACACAGGCTTTGTTTTCTGTTTTTGTTTTTTGAGACAGGGTCTTGTTCCGTCGCTTAGGCTGGAGTGCAGTAACATAATTACAGCTCACTGCAGCCTTGAGCTCTCAGGCTCAAGCAATCCTCCCACCTCAGCTGCCCGAGCAGCTGAGACCAGAGGTGTGTGCCACCACACCTGGCTACTGCTTTCAGTTTTTGTAGAGACAGGGTCCCACTAAGTTGCCCAGGCTGGTCTTGAACTCCCTGCCCCCAAGCACTACTCCTGCCTCAGCCTACCAGTGTTGGGATTACAGGTATGAACCACCATGCCTATCCTGGATGCAGGCTTTAAACAAAGAGTCACACCAATAAGAAGAGCTGTGAAGGTCAGGGCATGACCCCAGACGGGCGAACACTGCATTGGAGGTCCAGGAAGACTCTCCCGACAAGGCAACCCTGAGCCAAGATAAGGATAAGAGGGAGCTGATCACATGGAAGAGGGAACAGTATTCCTGGCAAGTGGAACAGCATGTGCAAAGGCCAGGTAGTAAGAGGGGCTTCAGGGACAGTCTGTGGCTAGAGCGGAGTGATTGAGGGCATGTGAAATGAGAGGCGGCCAGGGTGGCAGGCAGGGACTAGCCCAATCAGCCATGGAAGGGATGGGACTTTGGTCACTGTTCCACATTTCCAGATGTTTACTGTGTGCCAGGCTTGGTGCTAAATGCTTTTCTGAAGTATCACACTAGATTCTCACATAGGTAGGACAGCAACTGTTCTTCACATTTTAGAGATGAAGGGCTTGATCTCAGGTTAGATCCCTCAGCGGAGAGCCCACAGTGAGGAAGCAATGGGACCTGTGACGGCAAGGCCTGTGTTCAGAACTGCCAGGCCACACAGAACTCAACTCACTACAACCTCCTGAAGTGGGTGTGATTCTTCTTCCCACTTTGCAGAGGAGGACATGGGCCCACAGAGCTTGTAGGTGGAGTTGAGCCTGGGCAGTCTGGCTCCAGAGTGTCCACGGTCTCAACCACTGGCTCACATGGCTTCTTAGAAAGCAGGAGAAAAGGCAGCTCAGGCCACCATGTGAAAAGAGTGGAGCGGGGACAGTGGCGTGACTGGGACCATGCTGTGATGGAGTCCAGTGGACACATTCAGGATGAGGTGAAACATGCTGGCCCTGGTGAGGGGCTAGATGGGGCTGGGATGAGGGGGAGCCAGGTGAACTTGGGGTTGGGTTGGTGCAGCTGGAGGGTGCACGGAGTGTCTCTGAGGTGAGGCCGGGTGGGGCGGAAATGCCACGTTTGGTCTGGGACACGGAGCGTTTGGATGGGTATGGGGCAGTGCAGTGGAGAGTCAAAAAGGCTGCTCGGACCCAGGTCTGGCGAGATGGAGGCTGGAGGTGGGGTGAGCCGTCTAGGAGAAGGACAGAGTGGGAAGCAGAGGCTCTCCACTTGGCTTTCTTGCCAAAGGAGGGATCTGAAACAAAAAACTGTGGAATCTAAGCTGGAGAGGAAGAAAGATGGAGAATGAGAGAATGCACAAGCATGGGACAGAGTAATATGCATTTCTTTGGCTCCTTTGTACCTGAGTCTTCTAAAGATGCGGGCAGATGACCCCCGGGAGGCTGCAGGGATGCCAGCTGGGAGCTGAGTGCAGCTCTGCTGCCTGGGCATGGCCTGGGTGAGGGTGCATACCCTTGCCTGTGATTGCCAGGGAGCATGAGTGATGAGAACAAGGTGGCTGACAGGGTGAGGCCCAAGCCTGGAGCCCGCCCAGGTTGGGGGGGTCTGGGACCTTTGAGGGGGTCTCAGGGAGCTTCCCCAGCCCTAAGGGCACCATGAACTGCTTCACACTGACCTGGGCATACACGGCTGCATGATCTCTCGCTCACTCTCTCACATGCAAATGTAGACCATACAGCCATCCTGCCCACAGATCCAGAAAGCCCAGGACACAACAGAGCTGTAGTGCCTGCCTGACCCCCACGCACAACAGACCTAGCCCAGGAACATGCAGCCCAGTGGCAGGAGCCACTCACCCGAGCCCTCCCTGCCTGAGGACCCCCCAGCCTCTGGCCTCATTTTCCCCCCACCCTTGTCAGCCAGCCAGGGGGACAGAACAGGCCTGGATCTAACCCAAGGCCCAGACTCAGCCTGATACTGTGTGAACTCAAGGCCTTCCCCACCTCACCCAGGGCCAGAGCCCTTGCCTGTAAAGTGGAAGTGGGAATGGCCACCACCCAGGTAGAAACCCTCACTTAGGGCCTCACGGCCAGGCATCAGGGCTGTTGGGAGAGGGGCCAAGGAGCCCTTGCCTGTCTTGGTATCCCACCATCACCAGGAGGGGGCTGCGTGGGCATCACACCCCTCACAGATGAACAAAGCGAGGCAGCGAAGGGTCTCAAGGTGACTTAGGGGCAAGGCCCCAGCTCTGCTGCTGCCCCTGCAGTCTGGGATGGGAGGGTAGCTAGTGGCCAACCCCAAGGACTCTAGGCTAGGGTCCCCTGGCCTGCTCCCAGCCTGCATGCCGCAACATGGGGGTCCTCTGGCTGGCCCAGGAGCACGATCGGCCCAGCAGAGCAGCTCGGTGTTACGGGGAAGGGAGGCCCAGCCCACCAGGCCAACCGCCTGGGGCCCCATGTATATTTAATGATGTCTATTATTCCTGTTTTGTCTCTGGAAAGGACTGAGCAGCTGACAGCGGAGCTGCAAACAGCCCAGGACCCGGGCCTGGGCCTGCTCCATATTCCAGCTGGGCCCTAGGCCCCCCTGGGGCTCTCTACCTCTCCTGACAGCCTCACAGAACCTGCTGCATCCCTCTGAAAAGGCACACCTCCTCCGGGAAGCCTTCGCTGCTGCTCACAGGTCTTACATCTAGGCTCTGCATTCAAATACTGTGCAACCTGCACCAGCTTCCAAGGGACAGTAGAATACCGTGGGGGGCCGGCACTGTCCCGGCACATTATAGGTACTCAACGAGCCCCTGCCAGCCCCTCTCCTCCTGGCTTCTGAGGCAACAGGAAATGGTCAGCCACCTTGTTCTCACGGGGGAGCCTCCCTGCCACCCAGATGGTCACAAAGGCCTCCTGGGATGCTGCCCACCTTGGCAGCCAGGCCCCTCTGGAGGGGCCAGTCTGGGCCTGACACCCATGACCAACTCCCTGGGTAGAGCCTGCCCGTGCCTGGCTGAGGAACCCTGCATTCTCCTTGCCACCCATGGCCTGGGGCTGCCCTGGGGATCCAGGCTCCACCCTCTCCAACTCCCAGGCCCACTGCTACCCTCAATGCTTGACCTGTGCCCACCTGACTCAACCTGGCTACTGTTCAGCAAGGTTACAAAGTGTTCTCGGTCTGGACAGGAATGGTTTTCAATCCTTTATTTCAGAAAGGAGAGCCAGGAGAACTGGGGACTTAGAAAACAGATTCTTAACTCAAAAGTCCCTGGCCCAGGTGTGTAGAGCCAGGGTCTGGGGGTTTTGTGCTGGGCAGGAGCTGCCCTGGGAGGGTCAGAAAGAGGGAGGCACTTTAGGACACCCCTTAGGCTGTGGAGGGTGTCAGCTGGGCCTTTGAAGCCACTAACTTCTGCTTCCAAGCCTGGAGAGCCTTGAGTGGAGGACACAAGGGGGTTTCTTCCTGGAAGGGCCCCCACCCCGAGTGTCAGAGAAGTGTGTGTATTTGTATTTTTGTTTGGGTGTTTGTGTGTCCCAGTAGGACCGACGCCCCCAGGGAGATGAGGCAGGTGGGCGGGAGGCCTGGCAGGCGCCATTACTTCTTCACGATCTGGATGACCTCCTCATGCTCCATGGTGTGGGTCAGACCCACCCGCTGCGAACTGTACTTGGTGCTGGTGCCCTGGGTGAGGAATGGGGGCAGAGGGGTCACCTCAGCCTGGACTGGCCAAGGGCAAGGCCAAGAAAGATATCCCCGGGGTGTGTGTCCTGGGGGTGAATGCCGGCGTAAGGTTGGGGCCCCAGGCAGCAGGACATCTGCAGTGGTCTGACCATCCCTGACCTCAAAGGTGGGGGAGGGCCAGGCACAGTGGCTAATGCCTGTAATCCCAGCACTTTTGGAGGCCTCATTTAAGCTCAAGGATCACTTGAGCTCAGGAGTTCCAGACCAGTCTGGGCCAGATAGCAAGATCCCATCTCCATGAAAAATCAGTCAAGCATGCTGGTGTGTGCCTATACTCCCAGCTACTTGTGACGCTGAGGTGGGAGGATTGCTTGAGCACAGGATGTCAAGGCTGCAGTGAGCTGCGATTGTGCCACTGCACTCCAGCCTGGGAGACAGAGCCAGACCCTGTCTCAAAGAAAAAAAAAAAAAAGGAAAAGGGTGGGGAAGGCCCATGTCCAGCCTGGGTGAACACTTACATTCTATGGAGGACAGACACACAGTCATGCCAATCCCCACAGGAAAAACAGGAAAAACACACCATGCAGAGGAATGTGAATGCCTTGCTCCATGCCTAATCCGGGGGCTCTGCTGGGTCTAAGCCCCTGCCTGCCTCCCGCCCAGACACTTACCCACACCAGGGCATCCTTGAACTGGCTGGCGAGTGACCGGTGGATGCAGAAGCACTGGAGGACAGGAGAGAGACAGAGGTGAGGCTCCACCTAACCCCATCCCAAGCTCAACCACACTGTCTCTCACTCCTCCTGGCCCCACCTGTGACCTGAAGCCTCCCACATATCACATCACCCCAAACTCCCAGAGCAGCGTACACCCTCCAGTGCTTCCTGGTAGGGATGAAGGTCACAGGGGTCCCAGATGTCACGTGAAATTGGAAGGAGACCCTGGAGGGGCAGCCAGCATTTGCCCTGAGAGTGTGGACCTCTGGTTGCCACACTGATGGTGGGACAGTGGAGGGCGGCAGGGAAGGGACTCTGCAATTGTGCGATGTGGCTCCTCCCCCTACATGCCCACAAGTCTTCCAGGCCCCAGTGGGAGACAAAACGCCTCAGCCCAGTGTCCCTGGGGCAGAGGCGGCACCAGGCCTGCAGGTCCACTTCCCTGACAGAGATGGGAAGGTGGCTGATTCGGGCCTGCAAATGGGTCTTACATTTTACTCACCTTGCCACTTGTGAGTGTCTGAAGGGATTCAGGAGGGTGATCGTGAGCCTTCTTGGCTCCTCCTGCTGTGATCTCAAGCCTAGGTCTTAGAGAGATGGGACATTGCATGGCCTCATTTGTTCAACACCTCCAGGGTGGCACCCAAAGACCTGGGGCTGGGCTTTCAGAAGGAATGAATGCATGAGACCAGACTGCAAGCCCAGCCACCACTGTCATAAGGGGCTCGAGGAACAGTGTCCCTTGCTTCCATGATACAGATCCCAAGAAGAAATCAGCTTGAGGAAAATAACACCTGGAAAAGCAACAGCCCAGAAGCACAGCCATGTGACCCAACACTTGGCCACCACCAATGCCTGCAGGGTCATGTTCAGGTGACAGAATTCTGGACAGAGAAATGCAGCCTCGTGCTCCCTGAGCCAATAGCACCTCCTCTGGGGCCTGTGCATGCCCGCTCCCCTATCTGGGATGCTCCCCACCCCAACTCCTCACTGCCAGACCTGCTAGTTCTACAAGCCAGCTCAGGAGGCCTCCTTGAAACCTGTCCTGACGTCTGTTTGAGCCAGCGCCACTCCCCACTCCTTGGCTGACGCCTGAATGGTATGGGAGCAGGGTTACTGGCATCTATGCACTACAGGCAGCGTGCTCAGTGCCCTACATGCTGGACTTCATCCAACGTGTCTTCATGATGACCCAGGGGGGCAGGCAGCACATCCCACCTCACAGGAGAGGTTGGAGGCACAGCACATGGCTAGGAAGTGGTACTGCAGACGCAGCCCCAGACTGTCCAACTCCAGAGCCTGTGTGTCATCATCTGAGATTGAGACCAGCAGATCCCACCCCGGCCCAGGGCACCTCAGGCAGAACAGCGCTCCAAGGGGCACACAGAGCTCCCACCCCTTGTTAGGGCAGGTCTCGTCAACTCACCACGTGCTCCACTGAGGCCCCTTTCCGGAGGATGATGGCGTCTGTGAAGTCCGGCCTCTCTGCAGGGCGAGATGGGGAGAGCGTCAACCACACACGAGGACCCACACTGCCGCCTCATGATTCTGCCCGAGGGAAGAGATGGCTGCAGAGGCCCTTGCAGTCTCCTTGCCTTGGCCTAATGTCCCCGATATCCAGCACGCCCTCCACATATATCCCTGTGCCACCTTCTACAAGCCTTACTTGAACACGGTGACTCAAAATAAATCAAAGTCCAGGATCACACTGCCTGCCACCCATCTGCTGTGAAAGCACTGACAGAGACCAGGATCTAGACTCAACGGGCAGGACCCAAAGGGATGTTGGAGTCTCGTGAGGGAAACTGTAGCTCGCTCCTTGCTGCCAAGGTCAGGGTTGATGCAAAGTGCTCTGAATTCAGCAGCTGGGACCCCAGGTCATATGTGTGTGTGTAACCACCAGGAGGATGGGTGGGGGTCAGACACGGGGAGGGCTCTTGTGGATTCAGGTCACTAATGCTCCTGCGGTGGGGTCTGTCACTGTGAGGGGAGGTCAGGATGGCACTAACTGCTGTAGCCAGTGAGGACCCCGAGGTAGCCTTGCCCCACCAGGGCACCCTCAAAACCAGCAGTGCCCAGTGCTGAGAAGGGAAAAGAGCTGCGATGTGTCTAAATAAGCAAGGCCACAGCTGGTGCCGGGGTCTCTGGACACCACCCACAGGCCTGGCAGCCTTTTAGGGAGGATGAAGCTCAGCCTGTTTCTCAGCTACACTCAGTGTAACTCACGTCCTCTCTTCCTGGTGTAGATGCAGGTCAGGGCCAAGTACTCCCAAAGCATCTCCAGCAGGTAGTCCAAGTTCAGCTTCATGCCTCAGCTGCAAAGAGGGAGGCGGCCAGTCAGGCAGGGGCCCCTGTGAGTTCAGAGGCTGGGTCTCCACTTCTCACTATTAAAGGGGACAATTTCCACTGGCCAACATGGGCACCAAGGCCAGCTGGCTCGCCGGTGCCCACAGGGAAACAAGCCCATTACTCTTGATGGCAGCTTGACTTTCCTGCTGCCAGCGCCTCTGGACACCAATCATGGTCACAGTCAACCAGGGTCAGCATCTCTCCTGGGGGCTGGCAAGACCGTGCTGTGGAGAATTGTAGCTTGTGTCTGATGAAGGGCTGCCATGGGGAGATGGCTGGGGGCTGTGATGGGACCAAGGGCAAAGGCTGGGCCCCAGAGCTCACTCCTTGCAGAGAGGAGCTAGGGATTGCCAGGAAGTCCAGCAGGGATTTCACCATGAAGAGAAGAGAACCGAGGCTCTGGAGGCACCAGGTCGAGGGTGGACCGTGGCTTAATCGTTTGCGGTGTGACCCTGAGCCGTGTCCTAACCTTTGTAAAGCTGTTCTACGCATGAGCAGGTAAAGCTGTAGAGCTGTCGGCCCTGAGGATGGCAGCCCCTCTAAGGCCTGGGACACAGCAAAAGGAGAGGAGCTGAGGCTGTGCTATGGGATGGACACTGCTCTTTGTGGTGGCGACAACAATCACGAAATGGTCCTTGTACTCAGGCCAGGACCCTCAACCACCATTGGCACTGTCCAGCCTCTTGGTCCCTGAGCTCTCTGTACTGTCGGCTGAGCTTCACTGTGAAGCTGCAGAGCGCCGGCTTCAAGCCAGGAAACCAGAAAAGGGAAGCACCTGAGTCAGTCTGCCCCAGGGAGGAACCTGCCAGGTGGTGCTAGCAAGTGAACAAACAGCCAGTGTGGGTGGTATCCCTGGGACCCACCCTGCAAAGGAGGGCAGGAATTAGGTGACCTGAGCCTGAGAACGTTAGTTCCTTTTCCCCCTTTGAGCTGTGATCAGACAGAGGGCCTGAGCTTTCGGGCCTATACAGGCTGCCAGGGGCTGGGGAGGAACCGAGTCCCCAGAGTTTGCTGCAAGGAAAATTCAAAAGTTGAGCCCATAGACATGGCCGAGAAAAGGAGCTGGGCCCCGAAACACCTACCTGAAGACGTTCTGGGCCCAGAGAGGAGGCCAGCAGGCCAATGTTGGGCCCGGGAGGGCCACCGGGAGGCATCAGCTTGGCCCCATGAGGCCACGGAGAGACTGGGGGTGGGGCCTGTGGATACAGGCTGCCACAGAGGCAGGAGCTGGGCCTGAGCAGAGGCCACGGTGATTCCACAAGCTGGGCCTGGAGGGTCCACTGAAAGGCGGAGGCTGGGCCCGGTATGGGCCTGGCACGGGCAGAAGCTGGGCCTGGGGAGGCCAGGCCCAGAGAGGAAGCTTTAGACCTGGACAGGCCGCCGGGAGGCAGGAGCTGGCCCGGGAGAGTCTGTGATAGGCGAGCTGGGCTGAGGAAGACCCCTGCGAGGGAGCGCCTGAGCCTAGACTCAAGGCAAGAGTGAGGCGAGAGCTGGGTCCGGAGAGGTTTGCCACAGGCACGAGCTGGGCCCCAATGGGCCACTGTGAGGGAAGCGCTGGGCTCCAATGAGCCACTGTGAGGAAAGCGCTGGGCTCCAATGAGCCACTGTAAGGAAAGCACTGGGCTCCAATGAGCCACTGTGAGGAAAGCGCTGGGCTCCAATGAGCCACTGTAAGGAAAGCACTGGGCTCCAATGAGCCACTGTGAGGGGAACGCTGGGCCTGTGGATGCAGCCAGAATGCAGGCAGGCAGGCAGGCAGGCAGGCAGGATCTTGGTGTGGGGAAGCCATCAGCAAGCAGCAGCTGGTGCTGGGGAGGCTGCAGAGAATCCAGAGCTGGGTCCGGAGGGGCCAACATCAGATGGTAGCAGGGCCTGTCAAGGCCACTGGTAGGCAGAACGGAGGCAGAAACCCCACTTGAGAAAGCTTCAGGCCGAATTGAGCCTCAACTGGCCAGTGTGAGGGAGGCGCTGGGCCTGTGGATGCAGCCAGGATGCAGGTAGCCAAGACCTTGGCCTGCAGAAGCAGCCAGCAGGCAGCAGCTGGGGCTGGGGAGGCTGCGGGGACTCCAGAGCTCAGCCTGAGGCCCAGTCCTGCTTTGTCCTCCTGCTGGCCTCGGGAAGCCCAAGCATTGGGTCATGAAGTCCGCGTCTGCAGGTCCAGCTCCTGCCCTCCCGGCGGCACCCCCCAACCTGGGCACAATACATCATCACGTGGTCCCCTCCGGGGCTAGGTCCTGCATCCCAGTGGCCCCATGGGGCCCAGGTCCTGTTCCCATCAGGCAGTCACTCCAGGAGGCCCAGCCTGTGCCTCCCTACTGGCAGCCTCACGAGGCCTGAACCTTCTCCTGGCCACATCAACCGGCCCAAGTTTTGCACCAGGCAGCCTCTTTTGGCTCGGCCTTTCGTCTGTCGACCCAAAGCTTCCTCAGGTGGGGCCTTCTAGGTGTCCCTTCTGTTGAGGCCACCGGGAGGCAGAAGGGACGCCCAAAAGGTGCCACCTGAGGAAGCTTTGGGCCGACAGATGAAAGGCCTCCAGGAGATGGCCAGGAGCCGAGCCAAAAGACGCTGCTGGGGACCAGGTGCAGTGGCTCACGCCTGTAATCCCAGCACTTTGGGAGGCCGAGACGGGTGGATCACGAGGTCAGGAGATCGAGACCATCCTGGTCAACATGGTGAAGCCCCGTCTCTACTGAAAATACAAAAAATTAGCTGGGCATGGTGGCGCGTGCCTGTAATCCCAGCTGCTCAGGAGGCTGAGGCAGGAGAATTGCCTGAACCCAGGAGGCGGACATTGCGGTGAACCGAGATCATGCCATTGCACTCCAGCCTGGGCAACAAGAGCAAAACTCCAACTCAAAAATAAAAATAAAAAAATTAGCTGAGCATGGTGGCGCGTGCCTGTAATCCCAGCTACTCAGGAGGCTGAGGAAGAATTGCCTGAACCCAAAAGGCGGAGGTTGTGGTGAGCCGAGATCACGCCATTCTACTTCAGCCTGGGTAACAAGAGTGAAAATAGGTCTCAAAAAAAAAAACAAAAAACAAAAAATTAGCTGGGCATGGTGGTGCATGCCTGTAATCCCAGCTACTGAGGAGGCTGAGGCAGGAGAATTGCCTGAACCCAGGAGGCAAACATTGTGGTGAACCGAGATCATGCCATTGCACTCCAGCCTGGGCAACAAGAGCAAAACTCCATCTCAAAAAAAACAAAAAAAAAATTAGCTGGGCACGGTGGCGGGTGCATGAAATCCCAGCTACTCAGGAAGCTGAGGAAGGAGAATTGCCTGAACCCAAAAGGCGGAGGTTGTGGTGAGCCGAGATCACACCATGCTACTCCAGCCTGGGTAACAAGAGCGAAAATAGGTCTCAAAAAAAAAAAAAAAATACAAAAAATTAGCTGGGCATGGTGGTGCATGCCTGTAATCCCAGCTACTCAGGAGGCTGAGGCAGTAGAACTGCCTGAACCCAAGAGGCAAAGGTTGAGGTGAGCCCAGATCAGGTCATTGCACTCACGCCTGGGTAACAAGAGAAAAACTCCATCTCAAAAAAAAAAAAAAAGAGGCTGCCAGGGGCAAAACTTGGGCCCGTAGACATGGCCAAGAGGAGGATCCAGGCCTGGAGAGGCCGCCAGTATGGAGGCAGAGGACGGGGCTCCAGGAGAGGCTGATGGGAGGCAGGAGCTAAGCCCAGGGAGCCTTTGGGAAGCATGAGCTGGCCCTAGAAGGGCCCATGTGACAATGTTTTGCACCATGGGGAGG